TTTTTTTTTTTTTTTTTTTATAAAAATAAACAGAAACCTTCTCCAGCAAGTCTTCCTACAAACAGATGTCCAGGATCTTATGAATATAGGCTTAAAAGGGGTCATTTCTTTTGCACTCTGACTAATTAATGAGACATTTATTCTTTGAAAACAAAATGGTCCACCTTAAATTGGCTCTGCGGTATTAGTATTTCAAAGCCTTGCATACAGCCCTCTGATCTTCAATGTGACAAATTATAAAGCTTTAACATCAAAAGGGTGGGTTACAAAAAGATACTCCATGAAAGTGATGTAAAAATGACTGTTCTGGCCAGTATGCACAAAATTTTTGTTCTGTGCCAGTGAACAGTGCTACTCCCCCCCGCTTTTCCACACTTACCATGAGACTCTGCAACATGATACTTGCTCTTCTTCTCCCGCTGCTGACATACATAAACCTTCCAGGCCTTAAACACTAGATTGTATAAGAAATATCTGAACAAGAAAAAAAGAAAAACACTGCCGTAAGCCTTCACCCAAACACACAATTTCTATATAGCACAGCCACCCTCACTTGGTCTGGTAAAACATGTCACGACCAAGGGAGACTCCTATCACGCAGGATACTGGGCATTCACACTGCGGACTTGTATTCATGACTGTGGATTCATATCCTGGAAGGGAAGCATTTTACAGAACAGGATACAGACATTTTGACCCCTCAAAATATGAACGGGAGGTCTTGGATCCATTCAGGATTTCTGCTCAATCTAAACGCTTTTGGAAAGGAAGCACCCTTACAGAGAGACTCTTTTAGTAAGTCTGTGGGGACTAGACTGTCATCTGTGTTTTAGTCTCACCTTAATGAGAACAATAGCTTGCACTGAGAAGGCAACAAGGATGGGATTCCAAAGGCTCTCTCTGCCTGAAAAAGGCCTCTATGAAGAAAGTCCGTTAAAAATGGGGCTGAACTCAGTCCTCGTCTCTGAGACAAGGTGAGGAATGATGAAATCCGTTGGTTTCTTTGAACAGTTGTCAGGAAAACCTTGTGAGGAAGGGAGAAGTGTACAAAGGACTGTGCGATTACAGTAAGGTGAGGTAAAGTACAAACAGATGACAGGTCGGCTTGGGATCCATAAAAGTCCCATGAAAAAGCAACTTAATTTTATTCCCAAGACCCATCACACAGTAATATGAACAAGAGAATAATACAGAATGGAGTGGCCAACCTGCAACATGAGTACTGCATGTGGAACAGGCAGCCTGTCTCTCTCACACATGGCAGATTGGCCAAGAAGCAGACAGCAGAGCAGCAGATCAAGTAGTGAAGGGGACTGAAGTGGCACTCAAGGGTTTCACTTTGTCATGCCTGATAAAAAGTTTGGTTCCCACTGATCTAGAAGGCCTTTTTCATGGATCCGTTCCAACCTGGCATATAATCTGGGTGGTGAACCAATCAGAGAGAGATCAAGTTCCCATACCTCAGTGTATAAGAAGCAGGCAAGAAGCATGGTGGTTAGTCTGCTTTGACCCCGACAGCATAAACCAGCAGCATGGGATCACTTGAAAGACAGGTGGAGTTCTTAGTCTGAACATAACTCAGACCTTTCTGAACAATTACAAGTTTCTGGAAATCAGGAAATTCAATTCGTGCTAGCCAAGTTGAACCCTCAGGACACCTGAGCTGTACAACATAACCGCAACTTAAGGCAAAAAATAAAAAAAGGAAAAGAAAAGTTTGCTGCTGTTGGATAAATGGGTCGGAGACTAGAAAAAGACAAGAAGTAAAAACTGCAAAAAGACAAATGACAGAGGCATTATAATTGGTCTTTCCCAACCATGCAATGCTGCCCAGGTAGATACGTACTAATACATATACCCCTCTGAACCTAGCTATGAACACAGGGATCATTTCACAGACCTGTAATGGCAGTCAGCTCTGATGCTGAGCTTCCACTCTCTGCAAACAATCCACCATTCCTCCTTCCACTCTCTGAAAGTTTTTTGCAGAATCGTCTGGTCATAATGGCATCTAGAGATTTGAAAGATGTTGAGGATGGGGAAGATTTGTAATGATTTCTGAGATAATAGCAGATGCATTTTAAAGAAACTGCATTTCTTTTTCCAGTCTTGTTTGCTTAACCTAATAGTCTCTGACTGCATGATAAAACATAACTACTCTGTCCCAAATGTCACCCAAGAATCTAGAAGTCCCAAAGGAAACACCTAGTTAAACCTTACATAACCTGTGTAAATATAGCAGCTCTTGTAAAGTTGAGCAAAAAGAAAGACAGTTTAAATAACTAGCCCAAGATCATGGAGTTGTTTGATGGTAGGCCTGGGAACACAAATTGCATATCCTGACCTTTCAATCTCTGCTCTAGCCACTAAACCCACAGATAAATGGTGACATTTCCACATCTAATTCACCTCATTCCACATTGATTTGCATGAATATTTTAAATTGCTTTATCTTTAAAAAATAATATATTATCTTAAAATCTCTCTCTATTTACTCTTAGAAGTCATGCTGAATTTATATCATCTTGATTTTAAAGACAAGCATTGAAAATTGATTGAGATTTTCAAACGTTTTGAATTGCATATAAACCTCACTAACAACGTAGATGGGTATTCCTCTCTAGTTGTGAAATATATAAGAGGTTTATGAATTATATACTGCCTCTGTATTTGTTAACCTCCTATTTTAGCACAAGCAGCAGTGGTCCAGTCTTTTAGATACAACCTGTGCATCTGACAAAACCTGGAGGTATGTGACATAAACATTCAAAATTAAACTGAACTAATACAAACCCAGATGGGAGAAGGTTTTAAACTGAACTAGAGAACTGAGACTTGGATTAGGAACTCCAGCACAATATTCTCTGCATCAGGTAATACACCTACTGTCTCATGCCCTGGCATCATAATTCTGATTTCATTTAAACCAGTCATCTTTCCTCTGTAATACTAATCTGTGAAAACAACCATTTGGCCAAGATGTCACAGCTCACGTTGCAAAAAAACCAAAAAACAACTCAACAAACCCTGCCCTTTAAATGTCATTAGATGGAAGTATGAAATATTGCATTTGTAGGCATTTCTTACTTGTTTGTATTCATCAAAGAAAAGCAAGCAAACAAGGCAATAAGCAAACTACAGGCCCAATCTTGCAGCCTTAATTCACATCAACATTCCCAAATTAATGAGGATGCTCAGAGGTATGAGGACCGCAAGTTCAGACTCAAAATACCAGCCCTCCCACACTGCAAACCCTTCCACAAGCATCTGTGCATATATTGTACAACTCATAACTACCTATCAAATCAAGTTGCTAAGCCATTCCAAGCACTCAAAGCAGAGAAAAAACAAACAAACAAACGAGAGAGTCACAAATTATTCTCTGAAACTGTTGAATTGTTAAGAGTCAACAGGTGAGAATTTTTGGTGTGATATATATTATTGAACCAACTGCATGTTGAGATACAGTTTAAACAAGTTTTCCACAGGTACCACAGTACCCTTCCTCAGAGTTAAATGTGGTGTGAGACCTATCCCAATCACGCAGTTGGTTCAATAAAAGACATCACCCACAAAAATCCTTGCATACTTTTTGTGCCATCACAGCTACATCACTTCAACACTACATAAGAATTAACAGGAAAGTTAAGAAACCAAAATAACATGGAATTCTGGAATCTCTCTTTAATTTTGAAATATATTATTTGTTGCTTTAAAAATTTAGCTAGCTGAGCTCCAGGAAATTTCAAATAGCATTGCTACTCATTCTGCAAAATTTCTTGGACAGTATCTACATATTGCTAAAACAAATAATGCAGATCCAGTTTGTACAACGTGTAGAGAGTTACTCTGGTTCACAAAACTATTCTTGCTTGCCACCTAATACAGCCCAGGTAACAACTTGTGCTCCTCAGCGGAATCATCTGGGGTGACTTAGGGCTTGATCTAGTTCACAGTGAAATTCATACAAGCCTTTCCACTGACTTCAGTGGGAATTGGATTAGGACCTTAGAGAGAAGCAAAGCCACAGTGGACACACAAACGACAATGTAATAGGGCAAGAGAGGTGTTGATCTGGAGCATCCAATTTAAAACTAAACTGAAGAAACTCTATTGCTGCAGCTATTCCAAAGAGATGTATGCAACTGCTATTGAATACTTATTTAAGGACAATCGTACATGTTGCAGGGCCGTTTGAACTCTGTGGCAATAGGTCTTTTCCCACTTCTACCATCTATATTACTACAATTTTAGAGTGAAAATGAAAAAAACAATTCTTCTCAGGCTTGTTGCTGTGAATACAACCTAACTACCATTAAGGCTTCTCTAAATTTACAGAGAAGCCAAATTTGGCTATGATTAGCTAGGAATATGGATGAGAATGATATTCAAAAAAGACAGATTTCAAATAGTGTTAAAAGTCATTTAGGCATGTTCCTGCAAAGCCCTACAAATGCTCCCCAATATCAAGGTATAATGCTTTCTACTCAGAACTGTACTACCTGGCTTTGGAAGGAAGAACTTGTCCAAATGTCTTTTTCACCCACAAGTAGAGGAACTTCCTGGCCAGGTGTCTGAAATGTAAACAAAGTTTATTTGCTTTTCTGATTTTAAACCCATGCCTCTATTAAATTTCTAACTAACTCCCTTACAGATGGGGATTCAGAAGCCTATCAAACTCAAATACACATGACTAAAAAGGCCTCAATTCTCCAGACCTCAATCCACATGGGACTGATTTACACGCAATGATATTAGACAGCAACAACAGTTCCTTAATTTGGATTCCTCCCAGTGATACAGTGAGGATTAACACTTTGCACATCTCAGCATGCTCATTCAATCTTGTCTTGTAAGAAATTTTCAATTCCTTCTTAGCCATGATGCTTACAGGAAATGTATGGAGTGAAAAAATAAAAGAATGAAGAAAGAAGCATATTACAACTTAACAGTTTCCTTCAGGAAAACAGCTTTTTAAACAGCAGAATAGAAAAAAAATAATGAACCTGATAGTCTCAGATGCCTGCTTTAATAGCTCAGGGGCAGGCAGGCAAATTGTTTGTAGAAGTTGGCTGAGATAACAGAAATGAAAACTATTTGTATGTGGTGCAAGGCAGTGTAACACAGCTAGTTCTCCATGTGCTAGCTCCCAAGCAGACCTATATTAGTGTAGCACTAGACTAATAAACTCAGCTCAGAAACAGGACTTATCATCTTAGGAGCAGCATCATGCTAATGTAGCTGTACTGCATCCAGATGTGAAAGCCAGCACATCCCAAGCAAGCTCAAGTTTTCTAAAACCCATGCAGCACTGTGCCACATAGATGTACCCAAAATGCACAATTAGATTCTTTTAATTATATTCTTAGTTGTGTGTACTTTCACTACTTATGATCTAGTTTCCCACAGGACGAAAAAACAAGTGATGTCAAACTCCTTGCAGAGCTATCCAGAAAGGGCCATGTTAAGGACACGCCTAGTAATGTTTGTTATTTATTTATTTATTTAACTAGTACCTAACCCCTGAGAATCCCAAAGCACATTTATGAACCACGTAGTGCTGGTCCCTTTTAACCAGAAACTGACACAGAGAGGTTAAGCAACTCTCCCAAGATTGCTAAACAAATCAATGGAATATTTATTATGAGAATCACAGTCTTCTGATCCCAGATTCCCTGTTTAAAAAAACTGCCACGATTAAAAAACAAAACCCCACAAGTACAGAAAGCACAACTTTCACCTGATACGAAGTTCTTTTAACCTGCCCCCTCGATTCCAGGTATATGTAACCCGATAGGGAATCTGGCCACTCCCAATCCGACACCATTTCCCTGCATGCTGGGGAGCAATGGCCCGTCCAACCGGATGGCTCTGAGGAGTTCGCCATCTTAAGCTTAAAAGGAAAGAGGAAGAGGAATAGTACTGGCTCATTCACACTGACTATTAACAGATGCTAGTGTCTCTATGACCTTGTCCCATAATAAAGTATTAAAATAAAATTACATATCAAGTTAATGTCTACAAATAGCATATTAAAAAGTTCCATTTGATTCTATTAATGCTCTGTAAATTAACTCTCACTTGAATTTTCTGGGTCATTCCCCAAGAAATACCAACACACACAAAGACTGGAACACCGGAGACCAAAAGCAATCATCTCCACTTACATTTCCACTCCCTTTTAAGGCAACATGGAAAGGAAAAACAATGGTCTTGTACTTATTCTATATCTTTTTTATTTAAAAAGACATGAATATGCAATTTAATATCTGTTTTCTGCTTATGATTCTAATATAGTATATCAAGAATTTTCTTGCACATTTTTGTTGAAAGATTCCCTGAAAGACTAGAGCTGTGGTTCTCAACCTTTTTTGTACTGAGACCCATTTGTAAACATTGACAGCCAGTCCCGACCCAGCGCCCCTCACCCCCGACTCGCTGGTCCCCCAGTGCGTGGGGCAGTGGGGGTCCAAGCAGCCCCTCGCAGGCTGGAACTCTGTCAGCCTGCAAGAGAAAAGCCAGTTTCTCGTGTTTTCTTCCTTTAAGGGAGAATCCATTTTTAAAGTTTGTTCACAACCCTTTCATCTATTCTTGCGACCCACTTTTGGGTTGCAACCCATGGGTTGAGAAACACTGGACTGGAGAACTGAACCACAAGTATTTTCAGTGCTCGACAGAAGAAGAGCAAGAAATACTCCATCTTCAGCCAAGATATTATCAGCTGCTTGTGCACATATAATTAAGGACACCGATTTTTCTCTTTAAAAAAAAAAATCCCTTCCTGTTTCTAATCAAAAAAACCCAAACAGAACTAGGCAAAGACTTTATATTCCATTATGCAGCTTTTATTGAAGTACAGTTCTACTCTGAAGTGACTTAAAAAATGGTGCAATGAGTTCTACCTTTATTTTGCCTTGGTAACTGTCTGAAAAAAACGTAATTTAACCTCATTTAAAACTTGCAGAACCAGTTGCACCCAAGGTTGCCACCCAGAAGCAAACACTGCCACTACCCTCCAGTGTTATATGTTGGAAACATAAACACAACCCTGAGCTCCCCAGCAAGGGGTGCAATAGAATCTGAAAATCTCAACCCACTAAACACCTCAGAAAAGAAATCCTAGTTTCATTGAAGTTAATGGCAAAACTCCCATTAACTTACAGTAACAAAGGACAGTTTACCTGAAGTTCTAATAATCACAGGTCATTACAGTCAAAATTTCAGAGGGGCAGAACTGCAAGTGTCACTGGTTGGATCTCCCAAGTTGCAAGAAGCGAGATCAAAGCTAACAAACAAAACAAGCCTGGTGTTTTGTGAGAGTTTCTTTTCATGCAGAAGACTCTTCTAATATTTTGTAAAATAACAGGGCCCCATCTGGCAAGCAGGAGAGTTCAGTGCATGCCAATATGCGCAGCTGCAGCAGTCACCATGATAACTCTCCAGGTGCTTTTGAAAAAAGCTGTTTCAGTTGCTTTTAAAATTATGCAAATGCATTTCAACTTTTGTGTGTCAGGTGTACAGTTCCCTATACAGTTTTGGGACAAAAAAGGAAGTTAACTTGAATCCAAATTTAACACAATCTCAATATGGAAAAAAAGCCATGCAAAAGGATTATTGCTAGCAATAATTAGAGATTTCATGAAGAGAACTACAGAAATGTAAATGGTTTGTATTAGTGATGAAAGTGTGTAAATACTGTATATATGAAATATTCACCATATGGCTTGGAATAGAGTAGTAACTGAAGATCAAGGCCCCTTTGTGACAGATGCTGTACATATACATGGTGAAGGACAGTCCAGGCCCCAAAGAGCTCACAGCTTGAACAGGCAAAAAGAGTATGGGCAGCAGAAAGTATCATGCTCCTAATTTTATAGGACACATGACTTGCCTAGGATCACACAGGAAGCAGATGGCCCAGTCAAGAATTGAATCCAAGTCAGTCACCTGAACCCCAGTACAGGGCCTTAGCACTGAGGTCATCCTTCCTTTTTTTTATACCAATAATGTTTATGACTTCATGCTATAGTATAGCCAGAAAAAAACAAACAAACTTCAAGTACCTTCTCCTAGATAAAGTGGGAAAACCTCTGAACAGATTCGTATAAAACTGCCCCTTCACACCAGACCACCCAATAAACTTCCTAACGTTTTTGTAGTCCCAGGGACCTGACTGGAAATAAAAGCAAAAGAGCAGCACAGCCTCCATGTGACAGTCCTCACCTGCCCCTGGACTTCTCCATCCTGCCCGATAGCCAGGCTCTTCTGTAAACCAGCGCCCCTCCCTTTTTGCCACTGGACTCTGGTGCGCTGCCTTTGGACAACAGACAAGCATTGGTTTGAGACATTAGTTGCGACTCTGTGAGGCACGTGTTGCGTGCTCATCAGTGCCCCCCCACTGTGCTCGGATCAGCAAACTGCTGCGTGAGTGCAGGAAACCGCCAACCCCCGCAGCCGTCTGTGGGTGTTGGTGCCACCAGGCTACCCCTCGCCAGTGCCACCACCCAGACTAAGGAGCTCAGCTCTGAGACAACGAGGTGTGTGTAAAGCCTGTGGTGCAGGAGCCTGGAATTGCTACCGAGAGACACCGGCATCAAGAGCCGAGCAAGGAAAGCCCGAGAGGGTCTGTCTGCTTCCAGGAGCTGCCGCCTTCTCTCCTCATGGCACCAGCAGCCAAGGTGGCCCCTGCCCCGCAGGACGGGGCACTGCGTGCGGGCCCCGGAGGAGGGGCGGCGGCGGGAAGACCCCCAATCCCAGCTGTGCCAGGCAGTGACCGAGGGGACGGGGCCCGTGGATGGAGGCGGAGGCGCAAGCCCCAGCCCCAGCCCCAGCCCCCGCCTGAGGACAGCCTCCCCTCGGGATCCCGCACTGACCGGCACCTCCCTCCCGCCCGTCGCCATGGAGAACAACGGGGTCGGGCCGCGCGCTTCCGGGCCAGGCGGGTCCCAGCGCCCCCTAGCGCCTGGGAGGAGAAGGACACGAGACGCTACTGCTGCGGCTGCTCCCGCCCAGCCCCGCGCGTCTCGACCCTCCCAGGCCGCAGAGAGGATGGGGGCAGGAGTCCTGGAACCTGCCTTCGGCTTCCCCC